GTGGCTACGCCCGTTTTCTAAAAATTTATAATATTCTTATTTTTCGTCTAAAAATTATTGTAAGCATCAATTTTGAGTGAATAATCTTCTGTAGTTACTAAAATATCTCAGTTTTCGTGTTTCTGAAAATTACCGTTATATGGCAGGTAGGCGTGGTTATTGTCCGATTTTGCCCATTTGCAATATCATCCGTCCTACACTAGAAAGAAGTGCACGTGCCGAATTTCGTTAAGATATCTCAATTTTTACTTGAGATATCGTGTGCACAGGCGGACGGACGGACAGTCACCACTTAATCGATTTCTCTCTTCATTCTTATCATCTACCTATACCTTTGTCTATGTATATCTATCTCGATTCGTTTTGCCTGTTACCAACAACTGTTATGTGAACAAAGTTATAATACCCTCGTGCACAAGTGCGCTCGGGTATAATTAAAATCTTATCGCCTATCTACAGCCTGATACAGTCTTTACTTCGACCTCTCATATTTGAAATTCGAAAGAACGGTGCAAATCTTATGACCTTGACACTCATATTTTAATATTTCGTAAATCTTGTAGAAATCATTGTCAAACTAAACTCTTCTTACATCTCTTTCGTCTAACATTTTATTAAATATATCAATAAAATTATGAACTAAGTTGAATTTGATTTTCAAACACGTGGCAACCCTCCTAATAAAAGGTCGGAAGTAATGCCTTTTAACAAGTAAGTAAGTTAATTAAATTCAACTTTCCAAAAAAGGTGGCAACCCTCTTCAAAATATATGTTCAAGCTAAAACTTTCTTAAATAACCTACGTCTGACATCGTGATACATATTCTATTAAACTGAGGAATTAGGTTGAATCTTATTTTTTGTACATGTGGCAACTCTGTAAATATAGTTCAGAAATAAAGCCTTGTCAAACCCGTTTGGAGTGATAAAAATACTTTAATAATTCATTAAAGTTATTAAAGAATTAGAATTTAACTTTTAAACGGCTGGCAACTCTTTTTAAACACCTCAAAAATACTCTTAGTGTTAAAACTAAAGATTTCTTAAAACCTATTTTGTTTGACATATTTTAATATTTCCTTGCATATAAGTTGACTGGATTCGCCTTTCAAACGAGCGGCAACCCTGTTCAAAATATTAATAAACTTTTACCTTTTAAAGTCTTTTCGTCTGGCGCCCATATGGGTATATTTATTTCTATTACCTAATTCCCTTAATTGAAATGGAATTTAATTTTTCAAACAGGTAGCACCCCTCTTACAGTGAAGTAAAGAAACGAAGCTTTCTAAAACTATTTCGATTGGATTTTCATCGCATTAGGCTTGTGTAATAATTGATTTAACTTTTTAAATATTTTAAACTTCATTTTTTAGAAGGTACTCTTCTCGAAAAAGTAAAACATTATGGCACATCTACAATCGGAGTCCTTTAATTTAACACCTCATTTTTAAAAATAGAACGAACGGTGTAGATCCGATGAGCTGGACAAAAAATCCCTTCGCATATGAAATATATAGATTCCAATCCACTCCATTCCAATTCATTCAATATCATTCTATTCTATTCGATTTCAATCATTTCATTCCATTCAATTTTATTTGAATTTTAATTACTTTGTATTTCTTATTAATTTAGTTTTTAAAAATGGCTACAACTCACTTCTATCCAAATTGTATGCCATTTCTTCCTTCTTAGCATATATACTACAACTGTTATACGAAGATTAGACAGGTGCTTCTTTATTTAGTTCCTCCCTTTTTTTCGTGGGCCCCCTAAGGATATATTCAGCGTAGCATCATCATTGTAGTACTATGCTCGTCGTTCTATTTATGTATATTCATCTGTACCCGCTGTTCACTTGAATAGGTCCACAGATCTTGCAAAGGGTTGTAATCTTGCAAGTTCTACGTTTTAGCGCCCATTTATATAAGTATGTACACATGGAAGCCGCTGTACAAAAATCTTTATAATACTTCTCCCATGCCTTCACTTCGCTTTAGAAAGTGAAAATGATTGTCCTAGTTACATAAATATGCATTACTGATTACTGATTCTGTAGGTTACAATATCATAAATTCTCTAAGTATTTATATGCATAGCGCATAGATAAATTTTTCTCAAAATACCATTTAAGTAAGATGTCCTACATACCAAATTAACTTGTTAGTAAAAATAGCTGAAGTACATAAGAATTATCTACTCCAATAACTATGTATATATTCATACATACATATAAATGCTATTACACGAAAAGCCAAGGTGTTCAAAGGAGGAAGATAGAAAAATACACAAAATGCTCAACAGACCTTAAATAACTATAACTCGTAAGATTGAACTCGGTTGAACTAACTGAACTGGGCGTGTATTCGTGCAAGGATGATAAACACTGGAGAGCAGCAGTTCCTACTCAGTTTCTCTGAAATCGCGCACACGTAGCCTGTTTTATGTAGCTTTTTCTTTTTTTTTTTGTTGTGCATAAAAATTTATTTTGATTTGTGGAGTAAAAAGTTAAGGCTTGAATAGACTTACTGTGTTCGCATATTTTCTATATGCAGTTATATTGAAAATCATATCTCTCACCGTTGAGTGTGCCATTAAGTTTACAAATCCTTAAACAAATTCTCTTTCAGCAAAAGTCTCTTCTCTTTGCTTTCTCTTAGGTATAAAATATTACTATTTTCCATTTTTCTTTTTGCAAAAAGCGGCAAACTTATATTTGTGTTGCGAAAAAGCTGCCTGTGGTAAGCGCAAAGAAAGCTTTCGCACCACCACCACCACCACCACCCTAAATAATGAAGCAGCCCGCATTCAAAGCTACTCGCTTAATAAAAAGTAAATCTACTCTTCGTGTTCCCTCGCAATATTAGGGCGATTGTGCTTTGTAAGCGCTGTTATGCTTTGAACTGTTTTCTACACCCAAAATGAGCAGCATAACAGATTTACTTGCGGTAGGTATGCTTAGCGTAGATAGCGAATGAGGAGGCAATGAGGAGGCGATGAGGGGCTGTGGTTGTTAATAAAAAAAATTCCTTTGCTAATGTTGTTGCAGGAATTCTACTCAGCTGCAGCCAGCTGTTAATTTGTTATGCCGTTTTTAGCTTGCTCTCTGTCTGTGCTTTGGATTTGCCAGCATTGTTTGATTTCGGTGTTGTTTTTTTTGTGCTTTAGCTTTTGTGTTAGACGTTGTCCTTTGCATTGGCATTTAACCTCTCGCACGAGCAAAAAAATTACGTATGGCAGCTTTGAAGCCGGGGCTCAATTTAATCACGGCCGCTTTGTTGCTAAATATTTGTTTCGTCTCTCTACCGCAGCACTGTCTCTCTTTAAGTTTTATTCTAAAAAGCAACACCATTGCCTTTGTTTTATGCTGAATGCCTGGATAGATTTATACATGCACACATATCTCCATATATACATATATATTTGTGTGTACATAAATATGTGTGTGTGAGCGCAAAGTCCTTGTGAATATTTTTGCACTTTTGTTTCTTGAAACAAAATTTAATTTAAAAGTTTTTATCTGCGTTTGCATTTTGCTTTTTACTGTCAGTTTTCGTAATTTCTCTTTATGTATGTATGTATGTATGTATATTGACATTCTGGCCCTTTTCTTGCCATTTGCTAGAAATTTGTACTTCGTTAGAGGCCACAATTTTTTTTTTTTTGTTTTTTTTTTTTTTGTTGTTGCCATTTGTTGGCATTTAAAGTGTAAAACTTTTGTGCATTCAAGTAGTTATGCGCGTCTAAGGCTCTTTGCATACACTACACTCTGCGTATGAGTAATGCGCGCTAATGAACTTTTTATTTGCCATTGAAGTTTTGTCTATTTAAGCACTCGTTCTGTTAGCGCGCGGCTGTGCGGCGTAGGGTGTGGGAGCAGTGAGAAAGGCTTGAAAGTAAAACTTTTCTAATTGGAAAAATGCAATAAATGAAATGAATGAGTGTTTTGCCTGATAAGCATTTTTGGGTTATTTATGTTTTGCGAAAGCGCTTTTGTGGCGGAAAGTTTAAATTTTCAAACTCATTTGCGAGTGTTTAGTTTAAAGTTAAGAAATATGAAAAAATCATTAGAAATTGGCACATAAATAGACTAAATATCATTCTGAGGTAATAAATTTTGATTGCCAGAACGTAAGAAACTTAAAAACAGGGAAAAAATTTAATGTCAAGGACGTTCTCACAAAAAGGCCAAACGGGAACAAAACTCTCGGGAACGTTTCCAAGAAGAACAGAGTGAGAACGAAACTTTCGGCAGCATTTCCAATGAGAACACAATAGGAACGGAAGTACTGAGAATGTTTTCAGCGAGGATCAAATAAGAACTAACTTCTCAGGAACCTTCTGCTAGAGAACAAAACGAGAACAAATGTTTTGAGAACTTTTCGTTAAGGAATGTAATGAATGTTTATTTTAAGCCAGATGAAAGCTGGATAATTTTAACTTCCGTTTATGGAACAATTTTTGATTTTCTGTGCAAGAAAAGCGCGTGTCTTAGGTCTCTAGCTGACAGTATTTGCATAGTTATGTTTCAGTTTTTTTGGACTAATTATAATATTCAAACACTTCGAACTAATGAAACGCTATAAGAAAATTTCTGCTCGAATCCTTTCTTCGTGAATAGTTCAGTGAAGATTTGTCCCCATTTCGTTCTCTGTCACAAATCTCCTAAGACTCTAGTTCCCAAATTGTTCCTCCAGATAAAGTTCCTTACACTTTTGTTCCCGCTTTGTTCTCATAGAAATATTTCCGAAAGTATTTCTCGCATTTTTTTCTTTTAGGGAACGTTCCACTGAGTTTGGTTCTTATATAGTTCTTACATAGTTTCGATCGTAACTTTTTTGAACCCCTTGCGCGACCTATAACTATTACTTGATAAAAAAAAAAAAAAAAGAAAACAGGGTTATATCTTAAACCTTAAAAAGTGTATGCACTGCGGGCAAAGCTCGGCCAACCTGGTACTAACTATTTGTTTAATTAAATAATTTCTTTTCTCAATTTCAGGACTGGTGGTGGCAGCATGTTGGGTGATGTTAACATATCCGCTATTCTCGATTCATTTAGTGTTAGCTACGACAAAAGAGTAAGACCTAACTATGGAGGTGAGTTTCATGTTTGCAAGAGTCTTAAGAAAATAGTTCAAAGTTCCAAAAAAAATAATATTAAAAAAAAAAACAGAAAACCAAACTAAATTGTTGCAATCTTGAAAATGCGGTGATAATTCGAAAAAAAAATGCAAAAAAATATATTAAAAAGTAGGCATTTAAGAAGTGACTGTCAAGATTTGGTCAAAGCCAAATATCCACTTTTCCAACAGTTCACTAAGAGTATAGAAAATTATTCCTTCATTGATTTCAAATAGGTACATACATACATACTCAATTAACTTGTGGTTAAACGACATTTTCAAATTCCAAATACATAACTTCTACTCTGCATTTGGTAGTTCTATTATAACTCATTTTAAATAACAAATAAATTTACATACATATATATTTTTTATATAGAATGCTTACATCTTTTCATCTTTGCTAAATGAAATAATAAGCTTTTATAGACTTTCTCTTACTCATAATACATAAAACATTTACTATACATGCAACTCTTTAACTCACTTTCACTTTCCCAAACTTAAATACTAATCATAGACCAGTGACAAATACATATTCAATTATAATATACAAGGAACACATACCCACAGAGAAACCAATAAAAAAAGAAACATTTTCTCCAAACTCAAAAAAAGTAAAAAAAAAAGAACACGAATAACCAATTATGCCATTGCACACATACATAATTAATTAAAATCATCTTAAAGATATGGAAAATTATTTTTTGCATTTTAAAAAATATCTACTAAAAGTTAATATATA